ATTCTATACTTCTTATATCATTAATATAGTTACTGTCACCTCTATGTTACCTGTAAATGTTGAAGTCTTTTGGTTTTAGGCCTTTATGTCACCATTTTCTCCCTTCTCTCGTCTGTAGTCTGTCCTGAGTCTCCCAGAAGATCTTTTGAAGGTTCCTGACGAATCACTCTTCTTAAATAGTGGTGGCGACTCCTTGAAGTCCATACGACTCCTCAGTGAGATCGAAAAACTCATTGGTACCTCAGTACCCGGGCTTCTGGAAATGATCCTCAGCAGTTCCATTTTGGAGATTTACAATCACATCCTTCTCACACTGTTTCCAGATGAAGACCTGACATTCAGCAGGAGTTGTGCCACAAAAAGGAAACTCAGCGACATCAATCAAGAGGAAGCTGGTGGAAAATCTTCACATCAGAAATCTACCATGACTTTAAATTGCAACAGTGAGATGAAGGCTTTTGTTGCACTCAGCAGAGGGAGTCGAATTTTGTCTCTGAATACTACTATGTCTTTAACTAAGTTAGGGCACTTCCCTTCAGTCTGTTCTTCTGACTTAACGTCACAGACTAACATTCAAAATCTGAAAAGCTTAAGTCCTCCAGCTCTTACTGGGAAGTCAGAAAATCCATCCTTTGTTGCAAAAGTTTCTAAAGAGGGGAAACCTGTGACAGAGGCTGAGAAAATGGAGTTATGCGTGAGGTGGAGGTCAGACACAGGCAAATGTGTAGACGCTTCACCGCTAGTCGTAACACCAGCTTTTGATAAGTCATCCACAACCGTGTACATTGGTTCCCATTCTCACAGAATGAAGGCCATCGACCTTCACTCGGGGAAGGTGAAATGGGAACAGATTTTGGGAGATCGAATTGAATCCTCAGCATGTGTATCTAAGTGTGGAAATTTTATTATAGTGGGTAAGTTTTTGAATTTGAGGTTTATAGAGTTAAATTGAATTACCATATAATAATGCTGGTAGGACCAAGTTAAATGAAAAAAAAATCCTTTTATGGTGAGTTTGGTTGCTGTCAGAAAAAATAGTTAACCATGTGCTGATTAACAGCGTGGGCCTTGGATTTGAACCTAGCTCTATAGCTGTTATGAGCTCTGTGATCTTTGGCAAGTGGCGGAAACTCTTAGAACTTCAGTTTTCTCATGGGTAAAGTGGGAGTAAAAATAAAACTTGTTCCTTAAAAATTACCCCAACACTTAATGATCTAGAGCAACAAACATTTATTATGTCACGGTTTCTGTGGGTGAGGAATTTAGGAGCAGTTTAGCTGGCGGTTCTGGCTCAGGGTCTCTCGTGTGGCTGTAGCCGTCTGAAAGCTGGATGTGGGCTGGATAATCTCCTTCCAGGAAGGCTCATTCACATTGCTGTGAGCAGAAAGCCTCAGTTCTTTGCTGGTTCTTGGCAGGAAACTTCAGTTCTTGCCACACAAACCTCTCTGTAGACTGCTTGAATGCGCTCGCAGCATGGCAGCTAACTTCCCTCAGAGCGAGTGGTCCAAAAGAAAGCAAGTAGAGAGGAACACAGTACTTTTTAGGAGCTAGTCTCCTACATTGCATGCCATCGTTTTTCTTTTACTCTGTTCATGAGAACTGCATTACTCTGTCCAGCCCACACTCAAGAGGAAGGAAGTTAAGCTCCACCTCCTGAAAGGAAAGGTATCAAAGAATTTGTGGACATACTTTAAAACCACCAGAATCATCATAGAGCTTTTGGGAGGATTAAATGAGGTAATTGCTTATGCACCCATTGGTACATTGCTGGGCACAGACTAAGTGCTCAGTAAGTGTTAGCTACCACCTGCTGCTCTGTTTCTATAATGTGTGGGTGACTTTATTAGGACTCTCCGTGTCCTGGGTGTAATATCTCTCCATGACTACCACTCTCTTTTTACCCTTCCAACTATATTAGGTTTCACTTTATATGCTCATGGACTCTTCATCAAAGCTTTTCAGGCTAGGTGCTGGGGAATATATTTCCCTACGTGTGCTATCCTAGCTGGGATTTACTTGAATCTGAATTTGATTCTTCCCTTTTAAACACCTGC